CCTTAATCCCTCCACTCCTGTCTTCCACTCCTAAAAGCTAACACAATTTCTGGAACAAAGTAAGGGACATCATCAAAGAGTGGTTGGGTCTCTTTACTTGTTTAATATTATAAGCTTACTCCAGCTTATATATATATATATATATATATATATATATATATATATATATATATATATATATATATATATATAGCATATATCGAGTTATGAATATGCAGAGCAACACAAAACACATTGTAAACCAATTGGTTTTTGAGTGATATTTCCAATTATAAATCAAAGAGATATTTTGATATATTTATCTGTGTTTTTTACAATCTCTATACTAGACAGTATACCCTCATTTAGGCATTTACACAAACAGATTGTGTGCATATTGATGTTTCATAAGGTAATTGTGAAAGTACAACCTTCAATGAACTCATGTAATTTGATTTATGCCAATCAAACAATAACAACAACAAGCACATGAAAAACAAAAAATACGGCCAAGCAAAACCCTACGAAAATAATTTTAGTTAAGAAATTAAATCTACAGGGAAACAAAAAAATGCAAAATAGAAGGAAAAATAACATGAAATTCGATGCATACATTTGTTGATCGCTCTGAAAATCTGGAGGAAGGTGAACTCCAATTGAAACTTCTCAATTGATTTGGAATACACGTTCAGGTGGTTATGTTCACGACGCGAAATGAGGGTCAAACTCGTAAAGAGATTGTGATAAATAGGGTGACGAACGCTTTGGCGACACTGAGGGGGGATAAATTGACATGGGGCGATATTGTGATTCTGAATTGTTTGAGACCAGATTGAGGAAGAATCCTTTGATTACGATTGATTCCGATTTCTAAGAGGTTTTTAGTTTAATTAGAGGGAGATACGATATGGAAATTGCCTCGGTTTAAACTCTAAAAATTCTAGCACGGGCGGAAGCTTTTTATGTTGGAGGGAACTAGGAGCGCCAATATAAAAATTAGAATTTTAGATGATATAGTGACATAAAACACTATGTGCCACTAAAAACGTCTATAGTGACACAAAATAAAATATGCCACTAAAAAATTGTGCAACTAAATGTAAATTTGTTTGTATTGATTATAGATATAAATTTGTTTGTATTGATTATAGATATATGGTAACGTTCGATTGAAATCTTTGTATTATTTTTATCGTGTGCGATCTTTTTGACAATTTTTTGTGTTTAACCAATTAGCATTAATATATACCAAACTGTTTTATAAAATAAAATGAAAAATATGAATGTATCTTATTTAATTTATTTGATGGATGTTACATATATCTCATGAATAATATTATTATAAAGAAAACATTAAGATAAGAGATGGTTTGTTTAAGTAGACGTAGACATAGCCGAAGGAGATAATGAACATGAATACATGATAATCATAATAGATATTTCATGAGATATATTTGAAATAAAATCTTTTCTAAACAAGTATCGTATGTTTTAAAACCCAAAACAAGATTCTTGTATTTTCTGGAACAAGATAAAAAAAGGGTAATAACTGAAAAACAAAATGCAAAACAAAAATGCTAAACGGTTAAACCAAAATTGTTACTTTAAAAAAAATAGATATAATTTCAATCATTTTTTATATAAAAATGGGAGTAAATTAATATCGTCAAAATTACATGTATGGTCCCTAACCCTTTTTTTTTATTTTTTGCACTCGGATCGTCCATGTGGTTTGAATTTGTTGCGTTTTTCGTCCTTACATACATAAAGTTAGAGACCAAACGTGTAATTTTGACCAAACCATAGAGACAAAAAATGCAACAAAATCAAACCACATGGACGATCCGAATGCAAAAGAAAAGTTAGGGACCAAACAGACAATTTTTATCAAACCATAAGGACTATTTCAGTAATTTACTCTAAAAATTATACATAAACAAATGGATATTAAACCTAGGAAAAATGACAGGGTGACCTATATGTATTTCTGACTTTTCCTTTTTGGTCACTTAAGTTTCTTCTGCCTTCTAAGGGAATAAATATATTAGTGACCTGACTTTTAAGACTCTCCACCTTCAGTAGTCAGTATCATCTTTTAGCTTGTTAGTTAATTAAAAAAATAAATTAAAATCAGCTGTATAAAACAAATCTGTAAAAACTAATAAATAAAATATGTGTTTTTTTTAACATTTTTATTATCTAACAAAAAAATAATGCACTACGATTATATATTTTAATGTAAAGAAAACATAAATTTGTAAAAAAAAAAAATGATGTAAAGAATCCATTTTAAATAAACCATTTTGAATTACTTTTGGTGTTCATCATGGATCGAGTTCCTTGAGTCAACTGTAAACCTCAAAAGTCAAAATTAATTATTTATACCTGTTGAATGAGGTAAACAACAAAGAATGAAATCCACCACCAGTTTTTCCCATACTGTCGAGCCATATCATACCTCCAGTCTTCCCTAGCACCCCATTGCCATTTTTCTCGCCGGAAATAATTATGAGTCAACCTCACGGCCCCAACCCACGTTAGCGCCACCGCAACTCTCGACCTCCATAAGTTAAATTGCGAAGCAGGGTGAGTCTGAAAGTAATGCAATAGCATCACCGGAATCACAGTCTAGTACACATCTATCATCTACAAAACCATAGAAATGTAAAATTGTCAGAAATAGATGAACAATTGAGTTAATTGGGGATTTAGGAATTAGGATCGAATGGTGAATTCAAAGAGGGGTTGATTAATTACCCGATTGCTGGATTGGATGTGGTTGATGATGAGCCAGAAAAGGAGATCGATGTTGAGGAAGAAGAGGGAAGACAACGACTCAGACACAGTTAACCATCAAATACGCAATCCATGTGAATCAACGAATAGTTGTGTTTCAATCGATGATCTCAAAACATCCGGTTGTATACATGACCGAAATTAGATGACAAAGATGGCAGTTGAAGATGTTGGTGGATTCAATTAGAGAGGAAGCATAAGCAGTAGTGGATTCTATTAAAAGGGTTTTTATATGTGTGAGAGAGATGCATATGAAACAAAAGTAAAAAGGTCAATATCTATGTGGCAGCTACTTGTCAAAAGTGACCGACCTGATAAAAAATAGTTTGTATCCTTAAAACATACAAATACAAAAAAAAAAAAAAAAAAAAAAAAAAAAAAAAAAAAAAAAAACCTTTATGGACTGAACAACTAAAATCAAAATACATAGTAGGAAAGTTGCCTTTTGTAGAGAAAATCAAAATATATTTTCCTTGGTCTGGATGCATTTTTTGGGGTTTTAGTCCAAACCACGACTTTTTTGGATTGATGATCATTTTGAGGTAGTTTCGTTGCGTTTTTGGTCCCTTGGTAAATTGAAATGACTGTAATGCCCTTCTGATATTTTTTTTTTATATTTTTTCTATTTAATTTAAATGAAAAAGAAAATAAATAATTAAACTGAACCCACATCTCTCTCTCTCTCTCTCTCTCTCTCTCTCTCTCTCTCTCTCTCTCTCTCTCATTTCACCTAAAAATCATCTGCAGAATCCATCTTCATCTTCCTCACACTTCTTCATCTAAAAATACTCTTGTCAAAAATGAAATCGGAATACCTGTAACTGGAAATTCAGATGAAGAAAAAACCCCACATAAATAATTTTTGGGTTTTCTTTCTCGCTCTAAAATATACCAGAAGACCATCTTCTTCATGTTGGAGCTTGAAACCCGCTGGAACTTACCTCCAGCTCCTTTTATATTTGCTAAAATCCACATTCTCCTCCTATTATCTCTGCTGAAATCATAAATTTTGACAACTACACCTATCATATTTTTGGTTTGATGTCCCACAAAATAGAGAACAAAAATACTAGGTTGATTCTTGGATCTACGCAATCGGATTCCCCCAATCGAAGACTTTAACCCATATGATTAAGGTCTTATAAATCCACTTTGCTGGCCACCGAAGTGATGTCCGTTTTATTCACTGACATGGGTGGTGGTGGCAGTCTTCGCATCAAACTCTTTTCTTGGGTTATTTTCGCATCAAACTCACTCACACATATATACTTGAATCGTAGGTTTTAGGTGTAACTAACCAAAATCAAAATCAAATAGCACCCTCCTGGGTTGTCTTTTATTAGGAAGAATTGCATTTCCAGGGTCGGATTGTATGTGTGGGTCTGGTGTTTTGAAGAGGTTGTGAATACGAGTAATGGGTAAGTGAAGTAGAGGGTTCGATGGTGTGGGTGGATTTAAATCCACAATGTTCAATCTCCGACAAGGTAAGATGCTTCTCCGGTCAACCAATTTTTAGTTCTCCTGTCACATAGAGAGAGAGAAGCACTGGAAGAATCTAAGCTCGTCATTGTTTATTACTAGTTAACTCATCTTATTGAAGAAGAACTTATGAAGGTATGGGTTTAACTGGGTTTAAAGAAAGGTGTACAGGATGGGGGAGGTATACGGGAGAGAGAGAGAGAGAGAGAGAGAGAGAGAGAGAGAGAGAGAGAGAGAGAGAGAGAGAGAGAGAGAGAGACCTTCTTATTGTATTAATTATTAAAATAAATAAATTAGTATTAGATTTAAAAAGAAATGAAAGAAAAATGAAAAATAAATATCCTAAGGGTATTATAGTCATTTCAATTTTCGGAGGGACTATTTTCACATACAAACTAGTCCAAAAGGACCATCAATCCAAAAAAATCGTGGTTTGGACTAAAACCCCAAAAAAATACATATTACAAGACATTTTTGTAATTTTGTCTATTTTATATTTTATGCGGATCTGGGGATCTATGAAACTATGAAAATGACATCCGTACATTACGTGGAGACTACTTTGGTTTTGTTGTATGATTGTGTGATAAAAGGAAAGCTGCCTTTTGTAGAGAAAATCTTTACATTCAAACACCAACACCACCGCAATATATATACCCCTCCCTCGCACCTCTTCTTCCACAAGCTTAACCATCGTCTCCACTACGTAAACCTTCGCAACGATCTGATCTTTCATAGCCAAATTGATGGACCGTAACTTCAACGTCGGTGATGCCGGAGTGATCAAAGCCAAAACCAGAACGTCTTCTATGCAAGAAGGTCTTCGACTGCCACACGAATATTGTCGCACAACACATGGCGGGATGGCTTCCGCCGGCCAAGTCTTGTTGCCACACCAACTCTGTAAATCAACCGGCATCAGCAGGTTTTCCGAAGGTGGCCATGCAATCAACCGCCCAGTTAGTCAAAAGAAAGACAAAAACCTCATGTTGCCTCATGAATTTTTTGGCGGCAATGGGAGTCGTATTGCCGGAGAAGAAATCCTGTTGCCTCATCAACCGTGCGAATCAGTCGGCAGCAGCTGGTTTTCCGATGATGAAATCAAGCGTAAAATTAGTGCTAAGATAGACAACACCGTCGTTTTGCCTCATGAAGCCGTTGGCCGCCATAGGAGTAGGATTGCCGGTGAAGAAGTCATGTTGCCGCATCAACTGTGGGAATCAATGGGCGGCGGCAGGTTTTCCGATGGTGCAAGTAAACACGATAATACTCCAAAGAAAGACAAAACCATCACAGAAGAATTCGGTGACAGGTGTCAATCAAGATGCAGCGGAGGTGAGAAGATCTTGTTACCCCATGAATTACTCAGGAACAAAACCGATGTTTGAGATTCTGCAATCTAACTCTCCATCAGTAACAAGAATGATCAGAATTTCCTTTTGCCATGTAATCTTTCGATAGAGATGAAGATCCCAGATGGAAACTTTTCTAAGGATATGATCATGCTTTCCGTGAATCTTGCAGGAACTGCATTTGAGCTTTCTTTGGGCAGATAGGATAGGTTTAGGTACACCATGGTTGCTTGTAATTCATTGGATCTTGTTTAATCAGAAAGTATTTACTTATAATTATATATATTCCTACATAATTGATTTTTATGATATGCGTCCCATAATCCCAAAATGTATACCTTGTCAAAGGAGTTTGTATCACAAATATCACGACCAGCTAGTTCAACATTAAAACGTTTCGATGATTATGAGATATCCAAAAAAATATTGACTAATATAATAGTATATTGTTCAATTAACAGATACTTCTTAGGATATATAGTAGTTTAATAAGAAAGTATATTTAATTTAACTTAGTTTATGGAATATTTAAATAGTTAAGACGTTACAAAGTGGAAATATGTCAAAAATGTTAACTTAGTTTACCAAATCTATCTATCTACTATAATAAATGAAGATCTATTTTGCTACATGTCAATCTTTCATTAGTTTTGACACTTGTTATTTTGTGATATTTTTTAAAAAAAATAATATCCACATGTAAATTTTTGGGTTTTTTTTTTCAAATTTTAAAATTAAAAAGCCACATAATACTTGTATTTATATATGTAAAATATTAAGGTCCCGTTTGATAGTTTCTGTCTAGGAAAGTGCTGTCTGGGAAAGTTTTCTGACTGGGAAAGAAACTATGCTGTTTGATTGTACATCTGATTGACTGTTTTGAATGATGAAAAAACGTAATAATTCAATAAAAAATAAATTTTAAAAAAGTTATTTTAAAAAATTAATAATCCAATAAAGAAAGAAAGAGGCGGGGTTTGGTGTATAATTGTCTTTCCAGCCCATTCAGCCAGAAAGATATGATTTTGGGGCTTTCTGGGAAAGACATATCTTACCGGGAAAGACTCATTCTTTTGTGCAAATCAAACAGTCTTTCTGGTCCATTCAGCCAGAAAGCTCTGTTTGAACCTGGAAAGATGCGTATCAAACGGGACCTAAATGTAATAAATATGATAGTAAATTGCAATTAATACGTTTTCTTCATTCCTTATTTTAAAATTTTAATTTAAAAAATACTTATTGTTTACCCTTTGATATTTAATATTTTTTAATCAATACGTGTAATACACGAGTTTTACACCTACTATTTGAATATATAAATGTTTTTTTATATTATGTAATATATCTATTCAATAATAAATTAATGTAATATAATGATCTAACAAATAAATATAAATAATATAATATTTAGTATTGTAATATTTAATAAATAATGAAACCACTACGATCTATAGTTGCTTGTATAGCCACATGTTATTTTTTTATTGTTAAATTGGATAACTAGTATAAGAATATTTGTTTCTGTTAGTAAAAATGAATTATTATTTTGAATTTCATATTGTTTTTGGTTTATAAAATAAAAACTGAATATGATAAAAAAATCGAATAATAATTTTAATAATTTATAAATTTATAAATTATTTTTTAATATAATATTTTGATATATACTTATAAAAAGTTTTTTGTCTATAAAATATTAAACTATAATATATTCTTCTTTGTAGGTATTAATAAAATTTAATTCATAATAATTAAACAATTTTCTCTAATTTATTTTATAGTATGCTAATACTCCAAGTACATATATTTATTACATTGTCTTGCCTCTTGAAACCGAATTACAAAAACCGATCCAACTGAATAGTAATTTGGTTGGATCGATCATATTTGATTTTAGTTTGAACTATTTGGATCTATGTTTTGAAAACCAAAATCAAATTAGATTCATTTAATTGGATCAGATCGAACCGATCCATCAAAATGAACACCCCTAGTCACCTCTATAATTGTAGAGGCGCTTGAGTAGTCCACGAACATGCTCTTTTAATAACATCATTATGACCGGCTATTAAAAGTTCATATGTATACATTGAATCACTATAGTTTTCCTTTATACAAATTTAGTCGCTAATCTTTTTTATATAAATTTAGTCACTAATCTATCTTTTTCGTATACATTTTACCATCAATCTTACATAAGTTGTTAAATAATATCATTTCAGAAAAAACATATATTTACATATTTTGTGTAACATTCTGTTTCGAGAAGTTTCTTATTTCGGGATTTTGGACCGTAATTCAATCATGTGAAGGTCTTGTGCTTCAAGGAAATAAGGTTTAGACCTTATTTGATGTTGATAATATTGGTTGTGTGATCTAAGCCATTGATTTGTGATTTGGAGCCAAAGGGTAAAATGGAAAAAGTGATGTTTCATACTTCTTGCATGAATTAATTATTTTATTTCGATTTGTTTTTTTAGCCAAAAGTAATTGGATAAAATTATGGGGCTTGTCAGTACCTTCATGTGGATATAAAGATCGTTGAAAACAAAGTTGAAACAAAGAAGTTATGATTGTTTGAAGCTGGAATGGATTTGGGTGAAAACCCGTCGCCACAAGGTGGGAGCTGCAACCAGGTGGAAACTAGGAGCCCAAGCCCACAAACTCCTTGGGAGATTCATGTTTTAGGGTATTTTCTTAGCCTCTATCACATCTAGAACTATTTGGGAGAAACCCTAGCCTCCATCTTCAAGATTTGAGCTCCTCATCTCTCATTTTTTGGATGCTTTTGCTTATGTTTTCATGAAGCTTAAAGATCAAGAAGGTTCTTTTGGTTGCAATGAATGTTATTGCAAGTTTAGATCCATCAAAGCTACTTCATTTATGGACTATTGTGAGTATAAAGTTCATATCTTGCAATTTAGTTATTTAGATATCTTCATTTGTGGTTTTTGTCACTTTTGGTTCATTTTATGGGTGATCTTGGAGTGGAGTGGACTCCAACATCTTTTGATCAGTTTGTAATGCTTTTTGGACCTCATGGACTAGGAAAGTTATGATCTTTTGCATTCCCTTTTAGCCATGCAAGTTATCTTGGTCCTTTAGGTCATTTTGGTGTATTGAAGTTTAGATCTTGAAAGTTTGTGATATTGTTACACATAAAGTTGGAAACTTTATCCATCTAAACATCATGTTGATTCAGATTTGAAAGTTGGAGACTTGGACTTAATGGATTAAGTTAAGAAAGATTCATTCTTAGTCCCTTTAAGAGTTAAAGACTAGATCTTGGTTGTTTGGATTATCCTAATGAATAAAGTTGGAAACTTTATCCATTAAGAAGCTATTATTAACCAAATATGATAATATGAGTTTTGGTCTTTAAGGATTAAGATCTAGTGAAGAAAAAATGTTTCTGACCGAAACCATGATGAATAATGACCATTATTTATGATTTTACTCTAATGTTTTGAGAATACTTTTACTCTGATTGTCTTTTGAAACAAGCGAATGAATGGTTTTGGTTGATCTAAAACGAAATTTTTTTACTTAGTATTTTTGAGACGTTATAGGTTGGTATCCGAGCCTTGGTTTGAGGGATTCAGGCACATTTCCAAGTGTGTCTAAACTCAAACTGAGGATTTCTAAAAAAAATTGTTAAAAGAAAATGATTTTCTACAAAGGGTTTAATAAAGAAAAGTAGGTGCGATGCATGCAATCAGCCTAGCTTAAGTAAGTGATTCTCAAAATACCCATACATGTTGATATATTATATGTGATATGGTATGATATGCATGCTAGATGTTAGAGTAAGTATTTGCTCATGGTTGCAACTAGGATGCCTGCTTAGGAGAGATGCCTTTTATGACTGATATGTGAATTGTTGGAGATGCATGATAGTGTGTAGGATAAGTATCTTCAGAAATTGCATGATAGAACTGGCTGATCTTTATGATGCCTTGTTGCTTGATAGATTTGCTGCTTGCTTTGTGCTATGTGAAACCTATATTGATGTTAATAAACTAATAATAGAATACGTTAGGTTGCATGGTATAAAGATTAAATAGTTTTAGAATGTTTTATTTGGCTCTATTGCACATCTATTGTTTGAGTCGAACCGTTGCGGTACAAGATCTTTCAGTCGAAAGATTATTTAATGTTTGTTGCATGTGATTGTATTCGTAAGATATTTAGTTGACATTGATTGAAGTTTCTTTCGCAACTGATAGTAGGGTGGGGTGGGAATTCCTAGTTACCTAGGAAGAATGTTAGAATGTGCTTGTGTAGGCACTTCCGTAAGAGAGATCCTAGAAGGAGAATCTAGGAAGATTAGGAGTGTATACTCGTTGGATAGTGGGTATATGTGATTAGATCGGTCGGACATGAGTGGTGACTTGGAAATCTTGAGAAAATTCTTGGGACGAATATGGATAGGCGTGAAAGGTAGTATGGGCCCATACTACTAAAAGCGCAGGATCCGTATGAGGACCAAGAACTGTCGAAAAGTTTTCTAAGGAGTTGGTTGATGGTAGATCGCATGGTTTGGCACCATGATTCATTGCAGCGTTTCCCATCTTTATCAACCCTTCAATTAAGGGTTTTCAGGATTAGAATGAGTCTGGTTATTTTTCAGGCCTTAGTGGTCATGGTAGTTTGGGTCTGAGTGGTGTATACCTGTGTTAGTTAGCTGATTCTAAGGTGTCTAGATCCTTTTTCGAAGTGGTGACATTTTGAGTCATGGGACTCAAACGGGAAGCGATTGTGATGATCCGCTCGAGGATTGCAACTTGAGGTTGAGTGATTGGTCGATGGATTAGGATTTAATTGTCTACGAAGGGGATTATGTTCTTCCAGCTTTCCTTGTTCAGAGGAAAGAGAGAGCGGGCTTATGATTTCAGACTTAGGATGTAGACCCATCATGGGACTAGATAATTGCGATTTTTGGCGGCAAGTGTGGGAATGCACAAGAGGATTCTTGTGGTGTGGTTGCCTCGAGATATTTCAGATGTGCGCAACAGAGTCATTATTGCTGAGATTGT